TCACTCCCCACTATCCACCCTCCAACCGCGAACCACGAAGGACGAACTTATCCTGCCGTTTGCGCAGTGCTGCCACGTGTCACCCCCATGATCAAAACCCCCTTTTGTGGAGCACGACCAGAAAGTGTGCTCCTTCCTCTAAAAGACTACATGAAAAAAAAAAAAAAAAAAAAAAAACCATGAGCCGCTCACAACACGCGCAATACATAGCCATCTGCCGACGTGGCAACGTCGCTGGACCGCGCAGTCTTCGCCACCCTTATCGTTCGACGCGGTGAGAGATGTTTCCGCACCTCCGCCTTCACAGACTGCTGCGCAGAACCTACCACCTCACCTATTCGCCACACCCCCCCACCCCCAGCACCTCGCAACACCCGTCCCGCCTCTGCGCTACCGTGTCCACTTGAAGGCGCACACTTCCTCCCCTCGTCACCACCGTCAACAAAGCGCCGATGATGCGCACCAACCCACTACCATCTGCTCGAGATGACGTGTCACTTGCCATCATCTCCATCGTCATCCGCCGCGGGCCCGCTGCCGATCCACCCGTGTTTTGCGGCCTCCGCCGCGTTCTTTAGGGCAGCGTTGTGCCCGAACGCCAACCCGCAATCACACCATTCCGGAATGCATTGTGGGTAATCTCCTAGTGTGAGGTGGGCCTTCCCTAGATGATCGAGGACGAGGTTGGCTGCGTCCACCACGTGTCGGCGCCAGTCGAAGATGTACGACCCCGCCGCTATCATCGTCGGTTTCGCGACCATGGACGCGTACGACCATGCCTCGTAATGCGATCGGTCGTCGTCACCTCCCATGCGCATGATCCACACGACCGCGCACAACAACGCTCGCAGACTGTCCACCAACCTGGACAACCTCTCCTGTTTTACGCGCCCGTCATCCGCCCACTGTCCGCACCAGAGCGCATCAGTCCAGCACTCCGCCAGCAGAACAACTGTCGCCTCTTGCCGCGCCGCCATGTCGTCGTCTTCCGGGCGGTCCTCAATCTTCACCCCCGCGAACCACAGAGGCACGTCCATCTTCATCGCCAACGTGTGGTAGACGAGTGCAGGGGATACCACTCTCCACCATTCCAAGGCCTGCCAAACTGCTCGTGCGAGGTCCGTGGCGAAGTCGACGGTGATGTAGGACTCTGCACGAGAGAAGCCAGTCGACCTCGACTGCGATTTAAAGATCCAACCGTGGATGGTGCACAACACTACTCTCTCCACGCTGCGCGCTCTACGGAGAGCCGGATCACGCTGCGCCGGGTCGTCGATCTTGAAGCGCGTCACGTCATTCGGCGGCATGATGAGCATCGAAGGCGGCTCAGCTCTTGTGTCTCCGTTGGCGATGGCGACGAAGTAGTCGGTGCATTCGCCTACCGCCTCCCTCAGAGGTTTCCCAAGACCCTGACCCCAGAAAGCGTCGCAATCAACCCACAACTTGGCCTTCTCTTCCAGCGCGTCCTCCTTCGGCGCTCCCTTCCCCTCGACACAAGTGGAAGGTCGTCGCCGTCATTGCCCTCTCGCTTTCCGTCTCTTCGGCCATCGCCACGGCCAACGTCGTCGACCCCCCCCCTTTCCGCACCTTCGACGACTCCGCCTTTAGCTGTGTGATCTGCCGCCGCCATCCGACTGGCGCTAGCCGTCGCGTCGCCCTTTTGCGCGATCGCCGTGTGCCCTCCCCCTGATGCCAACACGTGTTGCAGGGGGAGTGGCTGACGTGGCTGACATGAGCCAGCGGCCGCCGAAAGTTGTCCCGCGACCCGCGCGCCCGTGACGACAACCCCTGCCGTGTTTGGGGTCCTTGGCACCGTCCCGGCAGCACCGCCAATAATGCTGCGTTTCACTGCTTGCAGCTGCTCCCTCGACACTCCATCCCGCCCGAAACCCAACCTCGCGACCCCTGTCGTCCCTTGCGCGTCCACCATAGCCACTTCGTCTGTGACGAAGTCATCAGTTTGTGACGAGCTGGCGTCATCGATGCGCTGCCTTTTCGACTTCGGTATGTGGCCTCTGCCTTTGTTGGTTTCCCCACCTCGCCCGCCCCGCCATCTTCCTGCCCCTCGCCAAGGCGCCCCGTGGAGGCATCTGGTCCGCAAATCGGAATCAACGACAACGTAAACGAAGGCTGCCTTCGACGAAAGAGTGCGCGGAAGACGGACGCCTGACTGCTTCCCAGTGCTTCCAAGTGGACGGAGGACGACGTGGATGATGCAAATGACGGGGCAGTGGTCGTGGAACCGCGACGACGATGGCGACCGAAATGGAGATCGCGGACGACGAAACACGTTGGCGGAGGAGCACGTCCACGAAGGATGACGTCGATGAAGGAGCACGTGGACGGAGGCGGCGTTCAAGTCCTTGAAGCGCGGCACGTGGGCGAAGAGGACAGCTGTCGCGACGGGGACGCGGGACCACTTGTTTGATGCGCATGAAGGGGCATTGCCCGCACAGCACGATGCAGGAGCGTGGAGCGGCGAAGCGGACTTGCAGTCGCGCGACGACGAGCAGGTAGGCAGACGGTGCGAGAGGGAGCCGTGGCCAAGGAACCACTGTAGTACGGAATGGCGGGCGGAATGTCCTATTTYTACGTACTGCGATGTGAAAGTACACCGTGGACATGAGTCCCCGTCCACTACAGCCCGCCCCTTCGTCACTCGCCCATGGTCCGTTTTCCTCCGCAGGCGCATGTCATCCCTTGCATGGCCAACATCGAAAGTGGGCGCACAGAAGGACCCTGGCGGAGGTCGAAAAAGCCCGCCAAACCAACGACCCCCTCCCGCCCGAAAATCACACCCTTCTCCGAAACCCCCGGAGTTCGCCATCCATGCGTGCCGGCGACGCCTCACTACAGCAGTCGTAATATTCTATAATCAGACGACGTAGTGTAACACCGAAGGACGCGCCGCGGGGCATGACAACAATCATACCCATTCCACAATGAAATCATCAAATAAATGCATACTTAAAAAAAAAAAAATATCCGTGCGCCCAAAAAAAAAAAAACAGCCGTCTGTACACAACCCTCACATCTCGTCACTGCAGCACGCAGGACAATAACGGCACGCGTGGCGGGGAGACGTCACGATCGCTCGTGGATCGCTTTAGCAATCTCCATAAGTGCTTGGCACATCATCAAGTTCGCCTGGTCGGCCTTAACGTAGTGTTCCTTCTGCACTTCAACCTCTCGCTCCAGATTGTCGCACTGCCTAGTCAGAATTGAGCACTGTCTCTTGCTCGCGCTGTCCACGGTTGTCGCCATCAGACTCCCGTGCTCCTTCATCACGTCTGCAATCGTGTCAAAGGTCTGTTGTCTCACATTCTTCCGTTTGGTGCCCCAGCCAACACCACCGCCGCTGATAGAATCCCTCGTCGACCCCTGATCGTCGTCCTGTCCATCCCCGCCCCCCTCACTACCGCCGGATTCATTCCGACCTCCGCGTGGGCCGGGCATTTGAACACCTCCAGTCGCACCGGTGTCGGCGAGATTGGTGGGGTGTATGGTGTGATCGCTCCTGGTCATCGCCGCCATCTCCGAATACACACGCTCATCCATCCGGAAATCGAACCCCCGCTCCTTCCTCTCGCCTGGCGTTAGTGTGAAGAAATTTGGCTTCCCCGATTCTCCCATAAACTTGTGCACGGTTTTGAATTGCTGGTACAGGTTGTCCCATTTCTTCCCGCAATCGACGGCCTTTCTACTCGTGACCCCCATGTGCACCAGCCTTCCCGTGGTGTGCGCGAGGCCGGCAAGATGTGAATCCTGGTCTCTTTTTGCCCGGATGAAAGCAATCATGTGCTCCACGGTCCAAAAATCCCGGCTTTTCGATCCTTTGCCAGCCGACGCATCTTCCATACCCTTCTTCCCCCTCCGCCCCGTGCGCGTTTCCGGCAACTTTTTCGCAGCCGTCGACCCTCCCCGCTTTCTACTGGACGAATCTCCATCTCCTCGTCGTCCTCCTCGTCGTCGTTACCGGCCCCGTCGTCCGCCTCGCAATCCTCCGCAACTGCACCATCTTCATCGCCTAATATATCGTCCGCCCCCACGGTAATCTTTGCCACCCCTCTCATTATGTCGGTCGTGCTCGCTTCACGCGATTGTCGCCGATGATCATCCCAAAACTTTCGACCAACGACCTCCGTTGCTGACCACTCTTCGTTTGGGCGTCGTCCGTCCACTGTGCCACCTGCCGTCGTCGTTCTACACKGAACTGATCCGCCAGTCCGCGTTGTCACTGGAGCCGGTGTGTGGGTGGTGCCCGAAGCTGGGTTCACGATAACGGTGCGCGTCACCTCCTCSRCACTCCCGGACCTCAATCCRAAGCTGAGATCCACCAGTCCTGGGYCATAACCAGYCGGGGTACGCCCCTCCARCAGATCAGTGTACGTCGGCGTCGATGCCTGCCTGTGCAGCTGGCTCCCCATCCAATCCTGAGTCGAACCGCTGCCCAGAGGAAGGGTAGAACATCRTGGGTCGTCGCCGTCATCGYCACTTGGAGGCAACRGTATCTCGTGGGACGGCAGGTGGCTGTACAGTGYGGGGTCGTACGGCCGCCTGACTGCTTCYGCACTTCTGCAGCGCTGACGTGACGACCCCRCAGCCCCAACGGACAGCGTGGTCCTCGTCTGTACCCTCTCCATCTTCCTGGCCGTCTTCGACGTTCGCCGCGTTTGTTTCCTCCCTGGAACGCGCAAGAGGCAGCAAATATGGAAGACGACAACGGCAAGCAGCAGCACAACGGCGAGCAGCAGCAAAGGCAGCCTGCGGTACAGGTCTGCCATGAACGACAGGGCAGCAGAAACAAAAGACGCACTCTCGCTGTGGCAAGCACGGCGAACGGAGACAAACGGTGCGAGAGGGAAGACGCCAATGAATGAAATTGATGCAATCTCGCAGCTGGCTGCAAGAGGGCGCTTACAAAATACGTATTTTTCGACCGTTGTGGAGCACGCGGGAACGGCACGACCACTTCAGGAGCCGGCCAAAGACGTCCGATGCTCGCCACTGCACCTCCGCCGGGACACCCGACGAACCGACAGGGCCGTCCCACGACGATCACCGCCAACGGTAAAACGACGAGGCCGTTACTCGACGTTTTGAACGCCCACGCCTCGGGATGTTCGTCTTCCGCCTTCCGGACCACCTCTGGACCACTTTCGACCTTCGTCGCCCCTTCGTGACGCGCCGCCGACACCCCGATAATCGCGGATCCTCGGGCTCCAAAGGACCTCGCGAGGTCCCTTGAACCCGAGGACGATTTGGCTGGGAAATCCTCGGAGGCCGAGGATTTGTCCTCGGAGTGTTTTCACAATTCTGTTCCGAAAATCGGCTCCGAGGACAGGTGGAACGATGACGAAATCCTCGAAATCGCGTCCCCGAGGAGTGTCGAACGACGCCCTGTTGCTCCCCAGAATGGCAGGAGCCAGAACCACGAGGTTCTGATCTTCTCAAAAAAAAAAAAAAAAAAAGGTATGTTCGGCAACCAGCTGAAGATGTTGGGGACAGGTTTCGAACCTACATCCTGTGGTTAACCATAGTATAGGTATCAGATTCTGTTTTTTTTGCTGTTTTTCCGCCTAAGGAAGTCTGTAGACGGGTTTCGAGCCCTTGTCATTGAATTAACTGTCTCGTGACGGGGGTGTGTCGTTTGGGTTTCAAACTTTAGTCCTTGGGTAGTCGTATCTCGAAGCAATGCAGACGGTGTATGTCTGAGGATTTGAACTGGTGACCTTTGGTGGCTGTGGTTCTGACGATGGTAGTCTTTCCTTCGTACAGTCTAGAAGTCAGACGTAGTGTTCCGGCAAGATAAATAGCAGTCACTGTTCCATCATTGGCACCGACAAAAGACCCCTGATGAGGCTGGCATGCGGCCAGCCGAAACTGGTCGGGTCTACACGCCTGTCGTGCCGAGCGTTTTTTAGCTTCATGCTTTTCAGCTAACGTTGCGTTCGGGATCATGTTGTTTTTTATCTTGCGTGTCGACTGGTCTTTCGTCTTCATCTTCGTCAATTTCCATTGTCCTCTGTCTTCGTCCTTATCTAGTCTATGTCTGAGTCCTGATCTTTTCTTCGTCCTCTGTCTTCGTCCTTGTCTAGCCAATGTATGAGTCCTGATCGTTGTCCATTCTAATGCTTGAATGTCATTCAAGTGTTACAAATAACAACAAACAACTTGTGTTGTTTGTCTGCCCACCCGCTTTCCCTCTGCCCTCCCGTCCATGTGTCTTGTTGGCCTTGCTCGTCCAGTGCTGTGTTGCCTCCCTGCCCTTTGCCTCATTGTCTTGCTTCCCCCCCCCTTCTTCTTCTGCATTTGTTTATGATGTACCATTGCATGACATTGTGTTCTGGTTCATCTGCAAACTGCATTTGAAGCATAGATGCTGCTCTTATGGTCCCGTATTCACGTTCCACACATAGTGACCAGATGCATTCCTCAACGCACCGGTGTGACTTCCACCTCCGTGAGGGCCTTTCCCCACATCGCTGGATACAAAGTTCTTAGTCTTTTTCCTTTATTTCTTCTTCTTCTTTTCATTTTCTTATTTTTGGCCTCCAACCCTGCCCCGAGCCCCCGACGTTTTCGGAATAGGCTACTTTTGCGACTTAGCGTCCCATTGTACAAGGTAGTGGTAGTTTTAGTGGTAGGTAGGTAGGCGAAGCAGGTAGGTTGACACTAGGACTGGCAAGCGCAAGCGCGTGGGGAGCTTACCGGTCGGCAGGCTCAGCGGTCAAGGTACCCAAAACCTCGGTGATACCGAGGCAGACGGATGACATTGACGTCATCACTGTGGAGAGAGGTAGGTCAACAAGGCGGGGGAGAGGTGGGTGCCATCGTCGACAGAGGTCGAAAACGTGAGGGGTTGGGTGACAATGGTGGTGAGATACCAGCAAAGGGAGGGGTGAGGTGACGGGGAGAGGGTGGCGATACGCCCGGTGCATAAGTGTCGAGTGGTCAACGAACGGAGGGCGCCATTGCGCTGCACACGGGAGCGAAGAGAACAAGGGTGAACACAGATGGCTTCAAATGAAAACTTACAACAAGCGGCGGCAACGTGGGTGTCTACACTGGAAGATGGTCGATGCCAACTAAAGGAGATTGTGGTCGTGCTATCCTCAATCGATACGGCTCTTGTCCAGACTGAAGATGCAAGGGGGGGGTCTTCAATGCCAGCATGGGCGCAGGATAAGCGGCGGAGGATGTTGGAGACACTCTGGGTTCTTGAGGAGGGACCCATTCTACAGTTGGACGACTTTCTGGATTGGCATTTGACAGACTCCCTGATGGAAGACTGCTATGCGCTCTACGAGGTGGGGAATGACTTGTGTGAGGATTGGGTGAAGTGCACAACTACAACAGCATCTACGTGCGTGGAGGTGAGTAGCGTGCAGCAAACAACAGAAACATCCAGCATACAAACGGCATGTACAGCAGTAACAACAAACTTCATTACATCGACAGCGGTTACAATGAAGACATCTACAACAATGTTGTCAACAACAACTCCAACAACATCGACGGTGATGACAACAACCTCAATTACATCGACAGCGACTACAACGAAGACACGATGACGCCCCCGGCGCTGCTGTCAGTAACACCATCTTCTACTCCAGATATATCAACAGCATCATCAATATCGCTAGAGTTATCAACGACAGTTACAATTCCGCTGATTCCTATCAAATCACTGGAGAAGAGAATTGCAATAACTACCTGTAAGCGTTCTCCGGTTCTCCCCACTCGGGGTGAACTATCAAAGGCTGTCGACATTATGCGGGGGCCTATGGGAAGGCAAGGGTTTATGGGGGGCAAGGAGAGGTGTCATTCCCGTGGGATGGGGGGGCTGGAAGGGCTGCACTGGTGGCGCCTCCGGCGGTGGAAAGTAGGGCCCGACCCTCGCCTCACCGCGTTTCTTCCGATCAACTGTGCTTTCGCTAGAACCAATGCCCTCGTTTAATTGCTGCTCGCCCTCCGCGGTCACAAACCTGTGTTGTTCTCAAGGGAGGTATGTGTCCAATCAGCCAAAGTTTAGCTATGGCTTCGTAGGTTGTGCTTGTCTCTTTTGAACTGTGTTTGTCTCTCCTTCGCCAAACTGGAATCCCCCCATATTGATTCATCCATGGTGGATACATTTCAGGATAATTGATTTTAGTCAGGCGAAGTTCTATCGATGAGGAGGGTGGGGTTAATCCTTCCCGACTGGGGGAGCAATCAATGCCCCGCCCTCGACATCTTTTCGAGTAGCAAAGGGAAGCCGTCTCCATGGGAGCTGTGGCTGAGGCTCTTCCAGCCCTCATGGGAAGAGGCGTGAGTTGCTTCTGTATTCGATTCTATAATATGACCCTTGGGCACTGGGCCCCTTTAATTAAAAAAAAAAAAAAAAAAAGGTATCTTATTGATAGGGCTCTGTAAAAAGGGCCTCTGACTCTGCTGTGTCGGGAGGAGCCCCTCCCCTATAGAAAAGTCAAAGACCAGAAAAGTGTCAGTATACAGGATGAGAAGAGCACCAAAGCCCCCACTCAAGAAATCTAAACAAAGTTTACAACTTGGACAAGAAAAAAAAGAGTAAATTGCGCTACTTAAACAGAAGCCACAAGCCTCACCTATAACAAAGTCCAAGACCAGAAGCTACCAATATGCAGAATTAAGAGGAGCAAAACAAGCCCTCATCCAGATAAATGACCAAAAGCCAGAAATCATAACTATGACTACAACATGTACAATAAAGCTACTAAATGTGCTAGTCAAGCTGAAGCCAAGAGCGAAACATCACACCGACACAAAGGGTACTAACAGTCCTACAAGAATGGTACCAACAGCGCCACATAAACAAAAACCGTACGGCAAAAAGCAGGTCACCCGTCTTGACT